CATTGTGTTACATGTTGTAATGTTAAATTAAATACTTTTTTAATTATTTGTATATTTTATTTATAATAAAAGATATGTTCTCGAACTCTGAAAGTTACGACTTTAACCCATTCTGCTAAAAATACATGGCATAAGTGGCACTGAGCGATTAAAAACGATTTAAGAATTTAATTAACAGAGCAGCTTCAATGTTTTATTCACATTATCGTACTTTGGCTGTTTGAAAATGGAAAAAATCAATGAATAGTTTAGTGATTATAGTCAAGCAGTTGCAGGACTGCTAGTCTTGAGGTGTGTTTCACATTGATGCATAATATTAGCTGAATATTAGCTACATGCCATGGGCTGCGTTGGTTGATAGTTTGGAATAACAGAAGCAGAAAAGTATGATTTGATGTATCGTAAAATAAATATGTACATATAATTTCAAATAAATTTCTCTAAGCCCGTTTTATAAAATGGCTATGTTCGAAGTACTAAGGAAAGACTACAGTGTAAGGATTATTATAGTGATCAAGAGAAATTCTATGGTTAGCCGGTTCGTGTTTTCAAACATATTCTTATGCAAATATTCTTATGTGTTTTCAGGATTATTTACAACAATGTTTTAAAGTGTCGGATGTGCAGACGTTCCAAAAGAAATGTACAGAGCGCTGTGCAAACGATAACGATAGAAAAGCAGCGATCGATCAAGCATTAAGAGACACACTTCTTGTAATATTATCTGAAAATGCATCGAATAATGTGCAATTACTCGAAACCTACATCACATTCTGCATCGATTTGTGCAGAAAAGAATTAGCAACCGCAAGCATACCAGTGATGCTGCTAGGTGATATATTTGACTCTATGACACTTGACAAGTGCGAGCAACTCTTTACTTTCGTCGAGAACAATGTTGTCGTATGGAAAGAGGATTTGTTCTTCAGTTTTTGCAAAAACAATTTATTAAGAATGTGCAATGACTTGCTCAGAAGATTATCCAGATCTCAACAAACTGTCTTTTGCGGAAGGATCCTTTTATTCTTAGCAAAGTTTTTTCCATTTTCTGAAAGATCTGGTCTAAACATTGTTAGTGAGTTCAATCTTGAAAATCACACAGAATTTGGCTCAGAGAAAACCGAGGGAGATGATTTGGAACAAATAAAAAAGGATGACGACAAATCAGAGAGTAAAGTGCCAATTGATTATAATTTGTACAGAAAATTTTGGGCACTGCAAGATTTCTTCAGAAATCCAAATCAGTGTTATAATAAAATGCATTGGAAAGTATTTTCAGCAGTAAGTGTGAATTATTACTGTTTTCAATCTCGTGTTATATGCATCTTTCTAGTAATTTATTTGTGTTTCTTTTAGCATGCTTCAAGCGTGCTGTCAGCATTTTCATCTTTCAAATTGGAAGAACAACGTAATTATCCCTCGGCTTGTATCAGAATGGATACTTCTATGGAGGGATCTCATAAAGAAACTCCATATTTCGCAAAATATTTAACGAATCAGAAATTATTGGAGTTGCAATTGTCCGATTCGAACTTCAGGCGATACGTATTGCTGCAATTTCTCATTCTTTTCCAATATCTTAATAGCACTGTGAAATTTAAAGCGTAAGTATCTAAAACTCCCGCGCGTTCTAACACGCAGTTCTACTACCGTATTCTCGATTCCTCTTCATAGAATTGAATATTTTGTAATGAATTAATAGTTGAAACGATTTTGAAAGCTATAAAACAATGTTTGTTTCCCAAAGCTTCCTTGCCAGTGGCTATGAGACAAGGTCTGCTTTCCTTAAATAGTGTTTCAAACTATATCTCATCACAGAGTCTCAATAAGTCGTTTTGTCATTTTTAAGTGAAACGCACGAACTGAAGCCTGACCAAGTGGACTGGGTAAAGGCAACTACGGACCAAGTGTACGCTTTACTGACGGAGACACCGCCCGATGGCCCAGCGTTTGCCGAAACTGTTAAAAATATATTGAAACGCGAGGAACACTGGAACGCATGGAAGAACGAAGGGTGCCCGCCATTCAAAAAGCCAGCACCAGATTCCATCGCCGATATAGACGAATTAAGGAAGCCGAAACGACCGAGACGCAGAATTGGAGACGTTATTCGAGATGCTCAAGCAGTAGGGAAATATCATATGGGAAAGTAAGAAATTTTTGAAGAATCAATGACTTTTTCTGGACGTAAAATTAAATTTGGTTGCTTTTTAGCCCAGAACTCACGAAATTGTGGAACTTGTGCCCTAATAATCTTGAAGCATGTAAGTCCAAAGAAAGAGATTTCCTACCATCTCTGGAAACATATTTTGAAGAAGCTATTGCGCAATTGGATCCTAAGGCAATGGTCGAAGATGAATACAAGTAAGTGCATTCTTTCGAAAACTCCCTTTTCAACTATTTATTATTTCTTCTCATTTAACTTGTTTATTCTCATTTGTTTCGCAGAAAAGTAAATGATGGAAATTTCGGTTGGAGAGCATTGAGATTATTGGCAAGACGTAGCCCACATTTCTTCGTTCATGGAAATTATCCCATCAATAAACTCCCTGAGTATCTCGAAACAATGATTAAAAAAATTGCCAAAGATCGCCCAGTAAGTGTAGTGATCTCATTAATATCTGTTTATAAACGTTCGAATATGAAGAAACTAACAATTTATGACTTTTCAAGCAAACGCAAATGGATATAAAATTAGAAGCAGAAGAAACTCCCCCTCCGGAATCGAATGATCAAGAATTCAATGAGGACGTTTTAAAGCAAGAGAGTGAACAAGTGGAGTCCGAGAATACAGAGAATACGAAGGAACGGAAGCTGACGAAAATCACGCCTGAGATGGTTGCAAAGTTGGCGGAGGTTCTCAAGAACGATTGGAAAAAGCTAGCGACGAAACTTGGCTACACAAGCGATGAGGTATGGAAATTGTTTAACGTAATCAAAAATATATGACGCAAAATGCGGGTTATAAAAGCGCGTATCTTTCAGATCTCTTTCTTCCAAGGGAAACCAACACCATACGAGCAGTGTAAAAATATACTTGAAATCTGGGCGGAGGAAGACGTTGACGCGTCCGTGGAGAATTTGGCTTATATTTTAGAGGGCTTAAAGCTAACAGAAGCACTAGCCGTCTTGAAATCTTAAATTGCCTCTTAAAAGAGTGTCTATTTATAAATATGGGAAATCAATTGTAATTTAAATTCGGGACGCTACCGCGATCCATGATATTGTACAGTGAATACATGTTTACAATTTCTTAAGATGCTATTTTTATGAATCCTGACCTTAAATTTCGTTTATTTAAATATAGGAGTAATAAAGTTCGTAAAATGTAGGAAAAAGCACTTACTTGTAGATGTAGTTAATTCGGATGCTGCAAAACACCGAGCACTACAGATTCAGCATACTATAATAAATGAACGTAAATTGCGCGAGTAAATGCGTCGATGAGACGTTTCAAAGATTAATTAGATTTTAACAATACTACTCTGTCACCAGCACATTTGAATCACTTTTTTTTATTATATCCTCCTCACAAATTGTGACTTTGATTGACAGGAACATGTATCGTTAGTCTTCGATAATCGCGTCGAGATATCGAAACGTGACCATATTGAAAATCGATTCACTTCATGAGTCCACTTGATGCAGTTTCCGTTTTTTATTTAGAAAGACAATAATAAAGTGTACAAATAATACAAAGTTTCGAACTAAAAACGGTCCTCGGTGCAAACTATATCGAAGGATAGTTGGTTTTACATCTGCACGGTCAGGATCTACATATGTACTTTATATGGCATCGAGGGAAATTCTTATTTCTTTCATTTAACTTCTTTTTCCGGCACGAAATCGATTCGCCAACAAGCATGCTGACAACCTAAAGGTACAGACCGATGCTTTTTTCTACTTAATCGTAATAAATTAGTTTTAACGTTAGTAATATATCATCGTATCTTCGAATTATAGACACTGACTTAGACGCGATTTATGCTCGATGCGAACGGCTGAGGCCAGCGACGATTAACACAGCGGCGAAACGGCCTGGGACACGGTGACGATTCCGTTACGAGCGGGAACTATACGTGAGTTATAAAATATTGCTACACATAATATCGAGTAGTTTCGAAAGCTTGGTTCCACAGCTATTCGCAACTATTAGGCCAATTCGCAAACAATCCTATTCTTACATTTCGTTTATAAGTTGCAACGAGTTCGGATTAAAATTTCTCCGAGGTCAAAGACTGAGGAGGCGCCGAAACTCAGGAATAGAATATGAATCTAAAATTGATAATCTTATGGAAGTGAAATTTGCATATCTCGTGTGTGCATCTCATTGATCTAGGTATTTTAAAAGAGAAATGAAGACCGATTGTCCTCCTCTAATCCATCTTGACCTCTCTTAATCCGTGCCCGGTTTCCAACTTGTTTTACGTAATTGCTATCGTCGGGAACACGTCTGCCGCGAATTGTACACAGAGCATAAATCCGGATTCCAGGTGCGAGAAACTCGACGGTCTTTCACGGAACCTTTTCTTATGTAATCGACTCGTTTCTTACATCTAAACATACACACTCATATGTATTGGCTAAAATGTAAATGCAATTCGATCGCGGATATGAACTCCGACGTTTATCTTAGGTCGTAGGGCAGCCGCAGTCTATGCTCTTTCGTCCTGCTCTCATTTTATTACGCATTATTTTTATTTCTCTACGGTAAGTAATGACTCGGTGTATGGCGGGCATTCTGACCACTCGTCTCCTCCCTTAGAAACGATCTAAGTACTGGACGTTTATCGTGACGTAGGGAACCCCTAATTAGCGTCGATGTAGCGCCCGTTGATATTGCCGCACGAAACGTGGCGCGTCGCATAAACGCTCATTCGACGCTCGATAACGACGGCGATTAAGAGTACAGGCGTGTGCAATCGACTTGAAACATTGATGAACGATGTCTAGACGATCAGTCTTATTTTTTAAAGAGAGAACGGAAATTCGTGTGAAGCCTTGGCTAATGATTCGCGATTAGGGTTACAACCTTTGGAATTATAAGTAGATTTTACATTGCTTAGAAACGAGATGGTCAATGATCAAACACTTATTATTGATTAACGCGTTCGCCGCGGCTTTGCTACATGTTTATATTTAAACCTTTCACGCGGCAATTTCTGCTATTCTATTGTACTGTTTTATTGAAATGCATTCACGGAACGTATTGCAGTATCTTTAATTATAAACGACGTACAAGTTCAGAGCCATAAAATTTCAACGAATTTTTAATTCTGCATCATGCATTAACGTAAAGTCAATATTCACAGCGAACGTGTTAATGCCGTGTTCGAATGATATTTTTACATCCTTCCCTTCCTTCCTCTATTGCTTTTCACTGGTACATTAAATAGTAATGGGCGACACATCTCGGTTTCTATTTACATAACGACAGGAGCGACGAGCTCTGTTGTGTTGCATACGTATGCTCGGGAATAGAGAGAGAGAGAGAGATAAAGGGATAAAAAGAGATAGAGAGGGAAATGGAAGGATTAATTTTCCATTAGAGAATCCAAGTACTCCTTGTAATCGTCTTCCGACATCTCCTCCTCGTTCTCCACATCTTCCGTGCTTCTCCGCCTTCTCGTGGTCTCGCTGGTTACTTCTATACAGAGCACCGCGAACTTGTTGTCACAGGAATAACGAACTTGTTCCAATAGACGACCGCCTGTTAACGGTGATCCTAATCCGTAACGATCCGAGCTGCTCGAATGCCAGGCGTCGCAGTACGTGTCCATCGCCCGGTCTCCCAATTTGTGCGACCCGTGCCACGCCACTTTCTCTGGCCTAGAACAATTCATATTAACTAGTTCGACAAACCGAAAACTTGAACGAAATTTAAAGTTCAACGACGCAAACGTATCGCTTATTGATATAAAGAAATGAGAAGATAATAGTGTTATTACCAGGCAAAGTCGGTGAGGATGTTCTTTCCGTTGAAGCTGTAGATCCTCGGGTTCTGCGAGAAATACGCCCCATTTCCGTTGAACATCTCCTTCCACGAATTGAACAGAACGTCTCCCTGGGGAGGAGGAAAGCAACCGTGTACGTATTTCGTATGACGTGCGCGATACGCTTATGGAAAATTGCTCGGAAACTTTGATGGGAAACTTTCGTGGATAGATAAGTCTCCGGTTATCGATGCATTTCGGATTGCAAATCACCTTTATATTGACGATGGGGAGATCGCGGTCGCCCAGTCTTACGATACTGTCGACGTTCTGAACTCTGGAACTGAGGAATGCCCGGAACGTACCCCTCAGACCGGCTCGCTTCGCTTGTCGATAACAAGCGTAGTCAGCTTCTCGTACGCCGTGCATGTCACCGGTAAACGGCTCGTTCAAAGCAGCCATTCGTAACTGGAAATTGCAATATCGATAGGACGTGCTCCCAGGAAATAATTACTAACGTTAGGGAATATTATCTAATACACTGAGTTAATTTTACTGAGAATTCGCTCGTACAACTTACCAGAATTTTTAGAAAGACTTAAGAAAACGTTCTATTAAAATGATTAAGGACTGCTGTATTTGGTAGGAATTCGATTTTGCTAAGTTTAAACGAGATGCATGTGTTAAAGAAAATTGGAGACGGGGATCATGTCAAAAGATTAATAGTGCTAATGTCTTACCATTCGCGGATACCACTTCGCAGCGGAAAGAAAATTCAATTTGAAATTAGGTAATGCATTAGCTCCGGCTGTTATCGATAAGCTTTTGCGCTTAACAGGATTAAGATAGTAACTCACCCCTGTTCCGTCTGCTTTTACGGGTATCTGGTTGATCAGGTTGGAAGCTTCGAAAGGTGGATTCGCCGGTGGCGGTGACGTCGTCGGTGGTGCCGGGGTAGTTATTGGTAAAAGCGAGCCCAACTGTAGAGGATAGTATAAATATTTTGACTCGAAATAGTATAATCGAATAAATTAGAAAGGAAACAGATTCCTGGTTGTTTATACAGAAGCATTATCTTTTAGAAGCGTAGAATTTTCGTTTCCTCTTCGATATTATTATTTATATAAAGCATCCGATACGTATATAAAGTATATCGATATATATATTTTATTCATGTAAATTATGGTAAGAAAAATGGGATATACTAACTGCAATGTACTGCCAGCCACTGTTGACTCTAACGAGCAGTGCTTGTTCGTCTATGATGTAAGCTAGTGTTCCAACCGGACTCACACCCGACATCTAAGGATATAATAAAATTATATCATCAGTATTGTCCAAGTTAATATGAAGTGCATTTTCAATACGAGATGGTAAAAGAATTTTACTCTTGTCATGGCTTCTGTGTTTTGGAAAGTCACAGCTCCCGGCACGATCTTCGTCGTGGTTTCTACAGGCCCTCTGGTTGCTGTGCTTGTAGCACCTTATAAGAATTTCGTAAAAAAAATTATTACGATTGAATTATAATCACAGAGACGAATTTAATTCGTTGATTAAATGCATCGAACTGCAGTGTTTTAATATATTATTACCTAAATGTTCTTTTAGTTCCTTCAATTGTTTTAGTTCTCGGAGAGCTTTCAATTCGTCCAGACTAGTTCTAGCTCCTAGGTAAAACAAATAAAAAACAGTCCATCACGATCGAGTATATTTTTCATGAGTCTATTTTGATCATGAAATATTTTCTTATGTGAGATTATAAAGGATTCTACTTTTATTAGAAAGATTGCATAATTAACGACGTGCAATTTCTGTTTACCTTGTCGAACTCCGTAGTAATCTCTTTCACCAAATATGTGACTCCTGCCAATTCCTGGTTCACCTTTCTGTCCAATTAATGAGACTCCCGGAGGTCCTGGTGGTCCTGGAGGTCCCGGAGGTCCCGGGACTGGAACGTAATTCCCTTCAGACGGCTGTCCCGGCGGACCAGGCGGTCCCGGAGGTCCTCTCTGACCGTCTCTTCCGGGTACTCCGGGAATTCCCGGAAAACCATCATCCCCTTTATCCCCTTTTATCTGTGCATTATTAAAGTGCGCACACTTGAAGGCTTCCCGATTTCCAGTTTTATAGTAGTGTGAAATGCAAATAATCTCGTGTCACAGCAAGGCGTGGGCGATCGCCTTCTCAAACAAAACGCCAAGTCATCTTCGATGATTAATTACTCAGCTAATATAAAGAGCGTGGGATGACTATATTTCGTTGGAAATGCTATTTTGTGGCGAAGCGTCGTAGTAATGCATGTATAGTTTATCCTCGGTATTCGTTATCGACGGAATTTCAAATAGAATCAATATTCAGGCAACATATCAAAGATCTTGGCGAGCGGGAATTTGTATAAATCACGAAGCGCGCCTTCGTCGACGCGGGCCGTTCGAGAGCGCAATAAAAGCGTCGGGTTTACCTTACGTTGCCGCGGCTTTTAAACCAAAGTGCGCTGAATTAAGCCCTGCCACGTGCAATCGTTTCTGCTTGTCACTTGTCACCCGGCGTCGACGGAATTTCTGGCTCCGCGGGGGTGGGCAGCCGAATAAATCGAGCTCGCGGCTTCGCCGACAAAGATGAAAATAAAACGCGTCAAGCGCACAGGTGAATTAATTCCCATACGCTGATTGCAACTGTACCGCCGCTTGTACAATGAGACACAACGTGATCTACGAGTGCCGTTACACACATGCACTTCCAGGGCCGATTTGCTGTCCGTACGATAAGAAGAATCGCTCGTTGTTAACAAACCGCGTCCTATCGTTTCGCGTCGTGGCTGTGATTGAAAGCTCGAAAGAAATCAAGTCGGACGCAGCGTTAAAAAAATAGAAATTCGAAACTGGGGGAACAAGCTGGAATAAAAACAATGGTTTTACATTTCCTTTCTCGATTTTACGCTCACAAAATTTTTCAAAATTGTATCCTGCCGAGAGTGAGCGCAAATCCGGCGTTATGTTTCTGACATTTTTTCACTAAAAAATCTGTAGAAGTGTAACGAGAACAGTGGATCACTGCGCGGATCTCCGGTTCAATGTGTCAAACGAGACAGCATAAACAAGTCCATTCATTATTATTCGTTTCGTGCTGAAAACTCTTCATCCATCCCCTTTTAATATTTCAATGAGAGTTAAGAGTAGTAGACATGGATAAAACGCGTTGAGTAGATCTTATGAAATACCGATTGTCGTGTGAAACGTGTCTGGTGTCAGGCGGTTTTAGGTTCGATGCTGATGACAAACTGTAAATCATAGATACTTACGCCAACAGAAAGTCCGTAAGGGCTGGGCGCGCCGGGATCCCCTTTCTCTCCCTTGGGCCCCGCTGGTCCATTGGGTCCAGGAAGTCCGGGAGTTCCAGGACGACCCTGTTAGAAACAGTTACCGATACATAGCGTTCACGTTCTACCTTCCTGTCCATGAATATTCTATGTTCATTAACCCTTTAATTAATCCCGCGTACAGTTCAATCTAGCGCACACTTTGCCCGATTACACGTAGACACAGTGATTTCTAATTTTGAAACGCGATCGTTAAACCGCGTCAGTAGAGATAATTCGGTCTACCAATTTCGAGTAGCTAATTACTTGGATCGTTTGATCGATGATGTATTACAAATGACTGCTTTTTTACCTTACTTGCTAGGATGACGTGGGCGCTGTGTAATACTCACTTTCATGGTGTTCTGTGCGTAGCATTGGAAAAAGAATATTATAATTTTAGAGTTGAATCACTTTCAGTAGACTTAAGTGATTAGTGATTAATTTATGTAATTACTAAGGGGTTGATCAATTTTTTGATTAAGGGGATGTTCAATTTCGTAGGGAATTAGAAAAGCGATTAAATCAAAAGTGAAAACACCATGTAGAATAAGACAGAACACAGCTTCCTATAACAGCGAACAGAACTTTCTTTGGCATAGCAGTGAATTCGCAATTTACACTTCATTTTAAAATATATTAAAAATAGCTGACCACGTATTTATATTTATTGCAATTTCACAACNCAGTGGATCACTGCGCGGATCTCCGGTTCAATGTGTCAAACGAGACAGCATAAACAAGTCCATTCATTATTATTCGTTTCGTGCTGAAAACTCTTCATCCATCCCCTTTTAATATTTCAATGAGAGTTAAGAGTAGTAGACATGGATAAAACGCGTTGAGTAGATCTTATGAAATACCGATTGTCGTGTGAAACGTGTCTGGTGTCAGGCGGTTTTAGGTTCGATGCTGATGACAAACTGTAAATCATAGATACTTACGCCAACAGAAAGTCCGTAAGGGCTGGGCGCGCCGGGATCCCCTTTCTCTCCCTTGGGCCCCGCTGGTCCATTGGGTCCAGGAAGTCCGGGAGTTCCAGGACGACCCTGTTAGAAACAGTTACCGATACATAGCGTTCACGTTCTACCTTCCTGTCCATGAATATTCTATGTTCATTAACCCTTTAATTAATCCCGCGTACAGTTCAATCTAGCGCACACTTTGCCCGATTACACGTAGACACAGTGATTTCTAATTTTGAAACGCGATCGTTAAACCGCGTCAGTAGAGATAATTCGGTCTACCAATTTCGAGTAGCTAATTACTTGGATCGTTTGATCGATGATGTATTACAAATGACTGCTTTTTTTACCTTACTTGCTAGGATGACGTGGGCGCTGTGTAATACTCACTTTCATGGTGTTCTGTGCGTAGCATTGGAAAAAGAATATTATAATTTTAGAGTTGGATCACTTTCAGTAGACTTAAGTGATTAGTGATTAATTTATGTAATTACTAAGGGGTTGATCAATTTTTTGATTAAGGGGATGTTCAATTTCGTAGGGAATTAGAAAAGCGATTAAATCAAAAGTGAAAACACCATGTAGAATAAGACAGAACACAGCTTCCTATAACAGCGAACAGAACTTTCTTTGGCATAGCAGTGAATTCGCAATTTACACTTCATTTTAAAATATATTAAAAATAGCTGACCACGTATTTATATTTATTGCAATTTCACAACGTTGCCGATGAGACATAATGATTTATGTAAGATGACGAAACCATTTCTTCAAATTCTTTTCGACCGCGAGATGAAATCAAACGGCAATAAGTAGGTTGATCGATAAATAAAAAAAGAAGCGAAAAAACAAGAAAGAAGTTTCCTCGTACCACCCATCCAGGTAAACCAATTTCGCCCATTGCTCCTGGCTTGCCCGGTGGTCCTACAGGACCTGGTGGCCCAGGCCGGCCTCGTCTTCCCCTCTTGCCCTCCGCTCCTTTTTCACCCTTGATGGTGATGAACTCGGTCCCGGAGCCAGCTATAGCCGTTTGTCCTGGCGGACCTCTCTCGCCTTTCTCGCCCTTCGGACCAAAAGTGCCCTGCGTGCCTGGAACTCCGTCCTTGCCTGGCTCGCCTTTGTTGCCTTGCGGTCCTTGACTGCCATTTACACCAGGAATCCCAGCTGGTCCAGAATCACCTTTGTCTCCCTTCTCGCCTTTCGTCCCTTTATCTCCTTTGTACCCGCGCGCGCCGGCCTCGCCTTTGTCGCCTTTTTCTCTCAGTACTAATTAATTCGGTGTATTCTGAATTAGCATCAGGGATTATTGCAAAGTAATTTTATGAAGCAAGCAAGCGCCCTTTAATTTCTCAAGAATTCCAAGTATTCTTTGCCGTCTCTTATTTAGAGCAGATATCTACAGTAATTGAGAACACTTTCAACTGATATTTTTATTTGAACATTTTGATTTACTTAATCGTTAGGCAAGTTTGCGTTTCTTAAAAGCAATAAGAAAATTATCTTACTTGTGTCTGTAATATCCACTCCTCCGGGACCGCTTAATCCGGGTATTCCCGGAGGTCCTGGTGGTCCAGGGGTACCAGGTTTCCCTTCCGGTCCCGTGTCTCCCTTGTCGCCCTTCTCCGCCGGTCTTCCGTTCTCACCTGGTGCTCCAGGGAGTCCCGGGGATCCCGGCGCGCCAGGTTCACCTTTGAACCCTTGTATACCCCGTGGACCTTCTTTTCCGTGATCACCCTTCCCGCCTTTGTGTCCGGGCTCGCCTTTGTTACCTTTGGCCCCGACGACTCCTGATTCCCCTTTCGGTCCTGGATTCCCTGGAAGACCTGCCTCGCCCTTTTGTCCTGGGAGTCCTGGCCTCATCGTGATACCCTCCGTCTACGCACACAAAAGTGGTCCCCCTCTTTTATTGGAAACAAGTAACTGTGTGGGTAACGTAATACGAGCGCTGATTACAGTATAATGAAGACACTGTAATTAATCTTCCATCATTAAAATGATGCTATAAGATATCTGATACACTTTATTCCTGTTATACTTCACTATTTGCCAGCCGTATCAAATTCGCGAGTAGATAGTCTTGTATATTCTTATCGTGAGCGAGATGATATTAAGTGCACATCGTCGTTTGAAAGTACGCAAGTACTCGGAAAGCGTGACGCGCTTTAAAAGGTGAAAACTTTGATAATACAATTGTCGTTCGGAATCCATCATAAAGTTGTGCGATAAATTTCCACCGCGAGACCGAATGCCTGCTGTTAGTAGCATACCAAACCGAGTACAATATCTCGAAAGAAGCTACCGCGCGCCCGTAGTTGTTACTCTAAATATGGAACTATTACTATTACTCACCCTATAAATGCCCCGGGGTTTCCAACTAGGCTGCATGCGCATAATAGTCGAAATTTCTCTGTTTAATCATCGGTGCAAGGTCGTAAAGTTAAAAGCGGTCGGTTGACCCGACACGCCACGCCACGCCACCCTCCTATCGTTTGTATCGCACGCTAATGGCCGTTGACGAACAATCGTCGTTCAAACGATTGCCCACATCCGCGCCGATACCTCTCTCCTCAATCGAACTATTATACCATTCTTGGCGCTTGTTAGGCAAGTTGTTTGCAAAGCAAACAACCCGTTGATCGACAACTTACGACTGGTATGAATTATTCAATGACCGGAGGAGTTGAGATCTCGCCGAGGAGAGCTTGTTACGCTTCCTCCTGATTTACACTGCATTTAGATATGTATTTGTCGTGCTATAGATTTTTTATGCTTTTATATATGTGCAGAAATTGAATGAAAAACAATCGCGCGTTCCCATTTTCTACGTGGAACAAATTATAAAACTGCGCGAGATTAAAAATTTGGTTAAACGGAAACCATGGCCGCGGGAGATTGATATTACTTCATAATTGGACGTCCGGAAATCGCAACCGAGTTCCTAATGTTCGCCCATCTCAACAGTATTTTATCATGTAAACATTACCGGGCGCGGATCAATATTTGTATTGACAATCGTAACGACCGCGCACGGCCGGGCATTTATTAAATGGTGAAGCCGCTCGTTCGAAATGGTCAGCGGGCTCGAAATTAATCGACGTCGAGTGTTCGGAACGAAATTTTCGAAAAAAACGTTCAGCGATCGGGAAAAGAGCGCGTAAAAAGCGAGACAACCGGGTAAACGTGCCGATCGATACAGCGTTTCGTTTAATTTTACCGATAACCGTTTCGGCCCGATGGACACTCATTTATTCGGACGTTTACAGGTCTCAGCCTCGGCAACCGCTATCGAATCGAACGCTTTTTTTCCCTCTCCTAGCCCTCCCCCTTCTCCTTTCGGCTGTCGTCGCGGGAAAGCCTCTGAATGCCTATTTATCAATGCCACCGTTCTCTCCCGTTATACGTCAGCCTCTCAAAGCCTTTCCGCCGACTTCCTCGGAACTTTCGGACTTTCTTCGGCTATTGAGAGGCTGGCATTCACCGTAAGCATCTTTCATTCGGCTCTTTCTTCCCCTTTATCCACCGGCAGATCGCATCGAGTGTATTCCGAGTAGATTTCCAGCGATCAAAGAGTTATGCGACGTCGCTTTGTAGATAATTCAATAAAGTATGTTCGCTGGTTGGTTGAAAAATTGTCTCGACGATATTCTTCCGAATGGAACAGGACATAATGTGTTCTTTTCAAATTCGATTCGAATTTGCAAGGCAAGGGAGAGATATTATTAAATAACATTTTCTTTTCATTTAGTTACTCCCGGTCGGAGTGAAATTAGACGCGAAGAAGAAATTAAAGAATGTTTTCTTTTTAAATGATGGACCAGACTCAAGCTAGGGTACTTTCTTCATAAATTTTTAACTCCCGTATTTGGATTGAGAATGATAATCAAGTAGCATTTTCCATGACATGAAAATGGGAAACTGAAATATTCCGAGTAGCACGATGTTAGGTCAGCGAACTCAATTAACCTCCGAGCATAAGAGCATATCGTCGGAACGTTGACGTTTAGTATGAATGATCCCAGATTGCATCGTTCAGCATAACCGAGTATGAAGTAAAACCGACTTAAAATTGAAAATCTCTATCAGAACTAATGGAAGAATTGATTCCTTTTAATAATAGAGGGAACTTATCAAAATTGAGTAGATTTAGATTCAACCATTGTAAATATCGTTGCACCCTAGAAAGCGGAGGGAGATCGGTTTCAGTCGTCGCGTGTAACCCGAATATTTCATCTGCCAACATTCGCGACGGTCGAGCAAGCTGATTCGTGTAACTGGCAAAACGACGATCCCCGCTGATGTGTATTTTCGTGCTCGGCGATGAACTCCTTCGCCCCTAAAACCAACCCGCCGACTCTAAGGGCCGCGAGTCACTCACCTGCCGTCGTACCTGGGCCGGCAACAGCCTAGAAATTGGTTTCTGTACTCTCCGGGGAAATCGGACGGCTGTACGAACGTTCCGAGGCACGGAACCGGCCCGGGTCACGTAAGATAACGTTCGGGGTGGAGGCGAGATATCTGCTTCGCCTTCCGGAGCCCTCGCAAGGTCGCGGGGCTCGTTCGCAAGGGGACCAAAAGGCGGTCGGGTCTGGCTTTCCTGTGAGTTTCGGGCCCGCTTTTCCACCGGCCGCCGTTAACGCGGTTTAATTAATTTAAATGCCTTGCTGTACATCGGATTAATGCGCGGTGGGTGCTCGTTCCCCAGTGTCACTTCATTCCTTGATTAAGGTTTCTGTTTCACCGTGCCAGTCTTTTTAATTTTTACGATTTGGCTTAGAAAAATATTCATTACACGAATTATTTTATTTATGAAGAATATTTTTTCGAACAAAATTTCTATGATTTTAGGTCGAGAGTTGATGCAAACAATAAATTTTTGTACTGCAGTACTACTATTATTTATATACATAGCCACACGATATTTCATTTATATACATCTATGCGAATCGATAAAGCAACGTGTGCACGATATTTTATTCGAGTGGTAGAGGTTCGAAGTTAGTAACACGATAAACTGCGCCGGCATTGTCAGACGCACAGTTGTCCGTTTAACCAGATGTGGACCGGACCCGTTATCCGTTACGGAACTCGCCGGTACAATAAGTTCATTTCAAAGTCAACATTTGACATTCCCGTAAACAGTTCCTTTATGTAAATTTACAACTTGCAGAATGTACAACGGTGAGTCAGCTGTAAAATTCCCACCTACTCCCCCGTAGCTGCTCGCCGTGTTCCATTACCGGGCTCTTAAACGAACCTCCAGGGATTGCACAATTCCTAAAACACCTCCCGCGAGCAATTCACGAAATTACTCGCATGATCGCGAGTTCTCGTTTAACCTTTTACTCGCGGAACTTGGCTAATAGAAGAAGGACGAGCTGTAGGCGATAATCTGAGAATTTTACACCAATTTTTAATAACTCCGTATAAATGGCCGTGAACGCTGTTACAAGAAATTCATTGTGAAAGTTCGAACTCGACGCCCTGTATAATACGTGACATATTTTTCCTTCTGGAAAATCTTACACCGGGAAATCATTGTTCACGGGTATTTTTTTACGTTGCTGGAAAATCTTTTACCATCATTGTGTAACGATGCTCTAAGAATATTTCGCCACAAGTAATAACGCAAGCTGCAGAACCTTAATATCTCTTTCTGAAACTTTTCACGCGACCGGAATAATCTCCCGACCGGAGGTACACGTGCATTGTTCCGATGCGACGTAACGATAATACCACGTATTTTGCATGTGTTACCCGCGAAAATGTGAAATGCGTGGACATATTTATTTTCACACATCACTGATGATGCATTTAATCATTGATGATGTATACAATTTTTACCTCATGTATACATATTTGTATATAAATCGTAGATTATATTATAAATTATTTATACAATTATTTTCATGAAAAAGAGATAAATAGGAGCAGTGTTAGAAATTACAAAACGGATTTACATGAAATTAGCATGGAATGTTTGCAAATAATAATAATAAAGCACAAAAAAATAAGTTATTTTTAAACAGCAAAATATTCTGATATTTTAATACTTGGACGACGATTATTATATATCTTTAAATGAAATTAAGATTCCTCTGATCAATTAAACGAGTGTGATAAAACGTGTTTGTACGCGGATAGTTTTATTAAAATTTGCGTATAATTAAACGCGATAAATTGAAGAATTATCTGGCACGTGCTAAAATTATGCACAGTTCAACTATCGCAAGCATAATTCTCATCGCGACGGGCCGTGATAAATTCGCTTACACCGGAGTTCTTATTTTTCCCTAGCCGCTATTAACCGAAATTTTGCGATAGTTACATTATTACCGTAATAAATCTATCGCTGTACGTGTGCCCAAGTAAATGTATATGAAACTGTCCCAATTAGAAGATAAAATCGATATCTGCGTTACATGTCTTTTTATACTATATCAGAAATCATATAAACATCGTTACATTTTATATTTTTTTTATATCCCGATTGATTTATTTTCTTTTTATTCCATTAGAGCCACGATAAATATGCAACAGGAAGCTTCGTATCTAATTACGGAATAAAATAATATGATTAGTATAATATCTCGTGAAAGATTAAAGGAAATGAATTATGCATATACCATCCACGGCGGAAAACTGCTAATTAATTTACGAAGCATTTTAACGAAAGTGTACCGAGTTGTATACGAATTGAATCATTTAACTGTTATTTTCTGCGGCGGAGAAAGAAAATCATAAACATTGTACATACGCGTACGAAGTTACGCTAGACAATTCATTCTCGTACGGTTCAAAGGGCCACGAAATATAAAAATAATAAAAAAAATAAAAGGAGAGAGAAAAAGATCATACACTTCATTACGTCCAGGTTGTTTCATTCTCGTTTCATTCTTGCCGGTGGCACACTTCCAAATGTTATACCGGGAATGAAACGAGCGGCCTGACCTCGCCTGCTAATTGTTGAAACGTCGGAAGCCCGAAAGAGCTTTGTTCGTTACCAAGTATGTACGTTAAAAGCACGGGAAAAGTACGGAGAATCGTGCCACTTCCTGCGGCGGCTATGTGATTCCAGACTATCGCTATAATAATTTCATTGAGTCCTCGTCATTAGACCGAAATACAGTCCCTTTGAGCTCGTGCTCAAGCGCACGTGTTAGCGTCTATGTGAAATTTCCGCGCGATAAAATTTCTCCCCGTCGCGTTTAGCACTGCTTTCTATACTGTGATTTCAATTGCCGCTGTTTTTAACTCCTTAATGGATTTGAAAATTCCACCGATGAAGCTTCTACCACGGTATTTTCCTTTCTCGTTGTGGAAAATTCAGTCCCCCTTAACGTGAGTGGAGGTCTTTTTTCCAACAGTTTTTGTTTGAATATTTAACTTTTGTATGAAGAGTATCAGTCGTACAAAGTGACCGCAGGTAGAGTTAAACACCGAACGATAATTCCGTACATTTTGAGGAAAAACTGTCATAGAGACAGAAGAACGGTTTAGAAATTCCCTTTTACGTCTGTGCAAAGTCTGGCGTCCGAAAACCTACTTTACAGTAGAAACTTGAAAAAAAAAAAAAAAATGTTAAGAACTGTGAATAATAATAATAAAGTACACTCCACTTTTACAACTTGGAGAGTTAATTCAAGACCTCGTAAGGGTTAGAATTGTGATCGTTAAGAACCTGCAGTTAGCGCGCGGTGTCAGTGCGATTAGCAAACAGAGTAGAAACGTTTCTGGGGTGCGAATCATTGGTGGGAATGAATGACCGTCGGTGCGCGAGACAGACAAAGCCCGAGCTAATAAACGAAGTCCGTGGTGGGACATAACAGACTGACCCGGTAGGGTAACAAAACCGCGCTTTAGCGAGAGCGTACGTGTTCCAAATACTGTATACACGCGTCATATTCCGGAATACCGAAATGCGGAGCGACGCGTTCATTTTTCACCCGTGGGGCATCAGCCACGTTTCGCACCCTATTTAATTTCCAACATCGCGCCGCGGCGGCCTGTCTGGAAATAGGTCATCCGATGGCGCACATTCGCCGATGCGCAATCCCCGTTTCCACGGGAAACGTTAGCACACACGGATACGAGCGCGGTTTCTTGTTGGTCTTTCCTTTTCTTTTTCTTTCTTGCCCCAACAGAAAGGTGTGTGTGTGTGTGTGTCGGGAATAGCGAAAGGGTGCGCGGGCGAGACGAGGGCGGTGGCGGGTAAAAAAAGGGGCAGCGGAAAGAATGGAACGGCGGTAGGAAAGGAAAAGAGACGTGGACACACACTGCGTGGTACGTACCGCCTTTATTACGTGCACGGTTACTTATTCCCCGCGGGCCGATACGGCGTTCCATTTCCATTCAACGAATTTCTTGTCGTCGCCGCCCACACCCCTCGCCCCCGAGACAAAACCCGGGAACAGCCGCCGACCAAGCGCAGCCGCGCCGAGAGCCGTCGTAAAAACGTGTAACGTACTTCGCGGATATCGTGGCTACCAAGGCGTTCGGGGATTTTGTCAATTTCACGGAACTATGGGGAATTCGCGTGAGATCCGCCACAGGGAAATACAATATTATTTTCCTTCAACTTGTTTAGATAGAAATCTAATGAAATCAACTGAACGGCTCGTCGTTCCACTTTTCCCACACAACCCACACAATTTTATAAATGTTGATGCTTTACAATAGGCTTCAAATATTGACAACGCAAAGTTTGTTCGTTCGTTACACTTTAATTTTCTCTTAAACATTGATTGGCATTAAGCGTGGGCATATTTGGAACGCTGCGGCGAAACCGGATGAAATGGGGAACGAAATTTTCCGTGCATCTCGCGAGAACGACACAAATTAATGGTACAAAGCTATACGCTGTTTGGGTCTGTTCACGATGCTTAATAGTCCCGTTTGCTTAGGAACCACTCTCGTCGTACGGTATACAAGGGATCGGGCTAGTTTATTGGACGCGAACGCGCCCACGTTTACGGTCGGAATGGGTTCAACCGAGATGTAAATTCGGTTACTGTGCGGCCAGGGGAACAGTTTGGAATGATAATTGAAGGGCTTTATGATGGAACGCGGCTCTGCTACACGAAGAAAGTAATTCTACCTTTCTTATATGTGACCAGATAGCTCGAGCGACGTCTTACAGTTTCCGTGAGAAACAATTTCAAGAAATTTTATCAATCATACTTCAAACCTTCATATAAAAGTACCTCCCATTACATAAGGTTATTACAGCTAGTCCGTTGCGTTTTATTTCAAGATACGAATGATACTAATTTAAAATAAGCATCGTTACTTACGTCATAGCCAGAGAATTCACCCTTCCCGGGGGGACCCGGCGGTCCTTGAGCACCTTTCTCTCCCGGAATCCCATCCCGGCCAGGTTCTCCTTTTTGTCCTTGAGGACCTTCCGGTCCCTGTCCACCCACGTCTCCTTTATCACCCTTAGGACCTTGTGGCCCTTCTAGTCCTCTCTCTCCAGGCGGTCCTGCTGCACCCTGTTCCACAAATCATTGCAATTAGTATTCAAATTACAACTACTTAATCGAATAAGATTTTTAATATGTGACACCAACATGAGATATATTAGTATTAAACAATTATTAAAAATGTATTTACAAATCGTTCAGAAATGTTATATAGATCAAGAGGGGAGTGTAGAATTAAAACACACATCCATGTTAATGTATTTGGGGGTATCATTTGGTTTTTAAGAACGTTCTTTATTTACAGAAATATCGAGGGGTTTCGTTTAAGGGGTATTTTATTTGCCATAACGTTAGTTATCGGTGACATTATCTGCACAGCGAAGGTGCAGGTCGGTTTCTATGGAAGCGTCAATACCGTGAGCCCCATCTGGCCTTGTTTTCCTTCCTGCCCCGGCACTCCTTGTTCTCCTTTCGGTCCTTGGATCATCTTTGGCATCGTAAAGGACGCCATCAGGGCTGTTGCATTGCAGGTGCACGTGCCGGGATCCCCTTTCGTCCCTGGCGGACCCTGCAGCATTTTGATCAGTCTGTCATTGCGAATATATATGTATATATGTACAACTATGTGTACATACGTATGTACGCACACTGCCATCCGTGGACAAGGTAAACTTTGTTCAGAGTTGCTAACAGCTAATCGAATCACTGGATAACAAAACTTCCTTGTCACGTGACTTTATAATTGTTCAATTATATTCGGTACGTTGCATGCATGATTTTACGGTTAGTGTTAATGATACGCAAATCAACTTTGCCATTCTGTTAAACTCTCGTCTTTCTCAAATCATACAGTGTCACACTTGAAATCATCGACCTGGAGTAGAATTTTTCAAATTATTATACATTCGTTCAACTGTGCTAATCGTGATCGGTGAGAAAAGTAGTAAGAGACGTTATTTGAATATTTCTTCTCTCGCGTTGCAAATCTCATTAATTCTCGGGATTACGAGCCACGGATTGAATATGCATTCGATGTTAAACAAATACGGCCCAGGTTGAAGCGGCGTATCCGTATGCCGATTATTTCAGAAGATAATGAATATCGCGAAAGCAACCCCTACCGCGGTAATCAATGTTACATGTAGTGGTTACCAGTGTACTTCAGCGTGCTAGCTAAATTGGCTTCCTCGAGTAGCAAGATAAATGAGTGATTTCGGATTGGAATGCATTCAAGCTCGCTTCGTACCACCAAGCGCCACTGAATTATTATTGCTGAAATATCTATGTAGGTATACATACATCAGGTGTAACGAGAGAATTATAACGCTCTGTCTTTGTTACCGTTAAGTACACGTGCCTAAACTACTCGCAATTGGCCGGTTGTTGCGAGAAGTCACTTTCACAGTCTCTCAAGTGAAAAAGTCACAGTCAAGTATACGTATTTCTCAATATAATCTCAGTGGGTATATGAACAAATATGAGATGAGTATTGTTCGTTGAAATAAAAGCAGTACACACAGATTTCGTCAATACACGTTCTCATTATTAGTTTATTATTCATGTTAAAAAACAGCAATATACATATTTTTGTCTGTGTGGGAATACAAGGCAATGATAATTGTTCATATGACTTTAAACTTCGGTCTCGAATAAATTGATTCGATTTAATTTCCTCGTTTTAGATTGTCAGTATTCAGTTCACTCGATATTCTATCATACTGAGGGATACAGAGCGGCGCGTGGCGCGTGGTCGTAAGCGAAACCTAATGCAAACGCGTGTACCCGCAATATGCGCAACGCATTTAGTACGCCTTTATACGTGTATGGACTACTGAACCATCGCAAACTGGAAGTTCACTGGTTTGTATAAGGATTGCTAATGGAACATCTTCGGGTACCGGCCGCGATACGTACACTCGATTGTATAGGCACATATAACGCACCCGAAGGTACATAATATACACATAGTTTCGCATACTATGCGTAATTTGCATAAATTATGCGGACGCTTATGCATTCTACGTGGTGCACGGGTGCTACACGCCGCACCGGATGCCTCGAAATCCTATCTTACATTTAAAATTCTCCTTCCAGAACCGACTACTGCATTTGTGTAAGAGAAGCTTCTTTCTTTAGTTAAGTATAGTTCGTTTTAACAAAATGACAAACTTCAGTAATTAATTCTTTGGTAGATCTTGAAGCTCACATGAATTACAATAGATTTTCTTTGGACTTTTTAAAAGTGTATTTATGCTTTCGTATTTAAAGATCAATTGTAGAAGATAATTAAATGATACAGAACGTTTTGTACTTTGCAGTACGTTAGTATTGATGAACGTATTTACCTCGTCTTGACCGGGTGGGCCAGGAGGACCTGGTGGTCCCCTGACGGTCTCTCCCTTGTCTCCCCTGTCACCCTTATCACCTTTTGGTCCTTTATCTAGCAAATATGGAAAAGAGTATATTAGAATTCTTTTTAACTTAAAGCAGGAAGAAATTCATGAATCAGACAAGCGAACTCACGTTTATAAACTGTAACGGAATTTCGAAACATGTTTGTTTGAAAATGAAAACAGGAATTCTATTGAGTATTTTCCGTACAAAGGACGGTATCAAAAGAGACATGCCAGTCGATGGAATTTTGAAATCGGCGAATACGTCGATCGGCCGAGCGGCAATAGTTTATGATTAAATAAAATCGCGATTACTCACAGTCCAGATTCGGCGGCGGAGGTGTGATGAATGGCGGCGGATTACTTTCCTCGCTTCTGTCTTCGTCATCGTCTCGTTCGATCTGAAAACGGACGGTAAAAAGAAAACCGTTGAATAAGAAACGCTAAACGTGATTTATATGTGTCGTTAAATGGCAAAAGGAACAAGAAGGAGGAAAGAAAAGCAGACGGAGGAAGGAGCCGAAAAAGGGGAGGAAACAGGAACAGCGTGGAAGTTTCATCGCTTATGGGGTTGTGATTGATTGCACGCTGGCTCGATTTATTCGCGAGAGAGATCGGTCCGGCTCCGGTTCTCAATGCGGGGTTAATATGCCATGTTATTACTTATATACAAATGAAGATACATTTTATGGATGATTAAATGTTAGCAAAGGCGGAACGAAGTGTTTTATCGCTTGGCTGAGCATTAAGAGTAAAGGTTTCTCATTCAATATTGCTTTCGATATAGCAAATACATTTTTTTAGAGGAGGATTCTGTACACATACAATAAATGTTATTAGGCAGATTTTCATTCATCAATTATTAATTTCGTCAATAGTTTTCAAGCAATGATTTTATTCACTCGATTAACCAAGATAAACGTCACTCTTACTGTGATTGCTTTGTACAAATCAATTTCTTTTCAGAGAAAAGACAAGATGTATAGTAGAAAAGAGTTTGTTTTGATTCCTCTGAGAATTGCTTCACGAACGGGAGGAATATTTTCTCTCGGCACTGAATGGCAACAGTTTCTATCAAGCATCCTTCTCGAAGATTAATTAGAGCGTTCAAAATTGAAGGATCAATTTTTCGAGTCGAACTTTTTTTCGCGGATATCGTGCGGAGCGACAGTGATTAATGAACTTTCGGTTAAATCAAGCGGAACCGTTAGCACATATTTGCCCTAAGTACTTTCCGATAATTATTACTGGGAAACGCAGATTTATCGAGCTAAACCGCGCTTTGCTAGTTATTTATCGTTGATTTTCTCCGCGTCACATATTTGAGGCATTTCTCCACTTCAATATTAACTCAGAGCGATTTAAATATTTTAAATCGTACCAAATGACACTTTTTCAAGCGATACTCATCAATACAAGAAATCAAACACGATTTATATTTTATCCTCAGTAAATGAATAATAATTTTTATCTTTACGATGGTTTTCATCCAAACGAAATGTTTATTAGCCTGGCACGTAATAAACAATATATTCACATTATAGAATATTGATCAATTTTTAATAAAATCGAAGTACGTTTTACGCTGTAAAACTAAATAGAGAAGACTTAATATAAGATATTAAAAATTGAGAACAAGCTTGTTCCAGTTTTATGAATCTCATCAATATGTACATATGTACAGCTTAACGGCGTCGATAAAACGTGAACAGCATTTGAGCTATTGCTAGGAACTGCAGAATATTTCAAGATGCTGCTATGAAACAACGCTTGTTTATTCGAGTACAGAGAGATTAAATTCATTTCCCTCCCGCGACTGGCCTCGTCTATCTCGCTCTTATAATTCACGTCGATGAATTGCGGAATAATTTTTTTTTATTCGTTCCACTCTGAATTGCACGTCGTGGACACGGCGCAAACGGGGAAATAGTACATGGTCAGAGGGCGGTCAAAGTATATACAAGTAGGTACTCGCGGATTTTGAATCCTCACGGGAAATATAACCGCGATGTCCGACCGTTTACGATTTCCAGGATCTTTCCACGACGTTTTAGACCCACCGTTAAATTGGCTCCACGATTTTCTGCAAATTCTTTATCGTCGGTTATGATTTGCTCTTGCCCGTAAACGACAAACCAAGGACGCCGCTACGATGCACGGTTATGAGTTTCCTTATTCGCTCACGACGGGATAAAATGGATAAAGAATAATACAAATATTGCACAATATCGTCCAATATTTTGTTGCGTATCTCTTCGTTCGATTCCTAATTAAAGCACCTGATATGGAGAATCTCATTTGTATTATTTTATAAATTCGCACCGGTTGAATTAAATTGTTCTCTTCGATTCATAGTCGATTTCCAGTATATTTTAAACAACAGGGGATACAATTATTTGCCGATGGCCGTTTTAACCGAATCGATAGGCATCTAAGTCACGTTCGGGGCCAATTTGTAATTCATGTCTTCCCGCGTATATATACACACAGGAAGTCAAATTTGCATTCCGTGCTGGTGGCTACGCACAAGTAAAAGCAAGCACGCAAATATTCGCCCACCTACATTGCGAGTGAGTGTATACGTTTTATAACGGAATTTGTTTGCCGACCAAATATTTCAATACTCGGACTGCATTTTCGCAAACGCGTACGAAACGAATAACGAGAGAGCAAACAGGTTGACGTATATATGCATCTACTTGTGTATGACAAATACAAACTAACTCGTGAACATGGGGACTCAATTTTTCTGTACGATAATAATGCGACCAAAATACTTTTAAATCTGTTCGTAACAGAGTCGTATCGTACACGATATTTAAGGCAATGAAGATAATCATTTTAAGGGACGGATAACTAAATACTTTGAAAGTTAAACGACCAGCAAGTTGGAACAGTTACAGTTTTATTTCAACGCGAATGCTAAAATGAATTTCAAGTAACCAAGGGGTTGAAACAACGCGAGAGGGAAAGTAATCATTGCAATGCCGGCTATTGATGAATATTCATGGGTCGAATTAGAATATCAAACGTAAAAGTCAATCAATCATTCCTCCTTCGTAAGAAAAATGAATCGCGGTTCTAAGGGAATTCGACTTCCATTAAAGACTACAAAAATATCTTTAAAACAATCGGAAAAGTTTCCCGATTCGAATTGCACATTTGAAAAATTCATATCCCTCCAACTTTCTTCGTGCCAAGATTAATTCAGCCAATTATACAGACTTTACTCTTAGAAAAAATGCTCGGTACGTTAAAACGCGAGTTCGGTCGCTTACATTCAGCACACGCGTGCGGCTACGTTGAACGTCTAATTAAAAGCCGCGGAATAACGGAAACGAGTGGAAAGTGGATCGAATCAATAACCATTCTTAACCCAACGGGAACACCGAGGGGCGTCATGCGAAGGCAAAGAGAGAACAACGTGTTTCATCAACGGACACAAAATAACCTGCGTTCTGGTGGAACTCTTCCGGACCCGATAGTTGGAGATCGCAATAACACGCGAATGGAACGGCGGCGGCGCGTCCGGAACAACCGCAGATTCTATTGAATTTGTTCACCCCGTAGGAGGTACACATCTGTTCATAAGTTTAGACATTTTCAAATAACATTCCAAATCAGTAACTATCAGAGATTATCTCAATTTGGATCGTAATAATTTGTAATAAGTCATAAATAATTTCGAAAAAATTGCACATCACATGAAAGAATATAAAAATAAGTATTATTCTTATATTAGAATTTATCTTCGAAAGAAATATGGATATGCAATTGATTAAGCTTCATAAACTTTAATAAACCAAGAATTTCACCCGCGATTAAATGATAGTTCCAATTAAATTCTGCCATAAGGAACCTTTCTTTCATCGCTCATTAAAATATTATAAATTCCTGTTGATTCATTTTCTTAGAACGTTTCATTAGATTACGTGTTTTACAGTGCGTCCCAGGACTTATGAACAGGGGTGTACATTCTGATCAGCCGCGGCATGCATGGCTGCGTCTTTGCATCTCCGGGTTCCGGGGGCTTTTCTTCTGAAGTAGGATTTCACGGGTGAAATAAATTCCTCCGTTCCTTCCTTCTTCGTCTTTTTTTCCCTCCTCCCAAGCCTCGCCATCTGCGACGGTGGGAAATACGAATGAATTTTACGGACGGCTCGTTCGACGCGGCCGCTTCAAGCGAACTCGTGTCGGAAAGTTGTCGCAGGACCAGTTTTCTTAATTATTTACGGCCGATCGAGCTCAAGGATTAGCAGCGCACCTTTCCAGACTTTAATACCCTGCAATTTCGTGTAGAAAAAAAATATTCAGGGTTCGTTGTACACTGGATCAATGAAATTCTTCTCAATTGCGATTCAATTAGATAGTCATTCCTTTGCATAAATTACTATTTTTTATCACACGTAAATACGTGCCTTAAAACTGTTATTCGATGTTTGCAGTCGTACACATTGTTTCACAACGCAGTTGGATTCTCCAATTGCACTTTCTTGAGTGAAACGTTGTTACATAAAATACAATATCCTACGTTCTTTAATAAACTGAACAAGGTTCTGGCGGTATATTAATAAGCCAGACAGGAAACGTTTCAGCTAAAATTACGTACAAACGGTCCCCGCGTCACGGTTCGTTAAATTTAGATAAAGTCTACGGAGTGTTGGCCTTTCAACTTTAATTTAAACGGAACGGGGCGGAAAGTAGTCCGCCAAGAGCCAAATCTAGCGAGGAATTGCGAGCCCCTTTTCACGGAAGAACTGTTTGTCAGCGGCCGCATTGTGGGACAGTATATTGCCGGTTTGGAAGATAACCCGAAAACGTGTCGACATTTCTGTGTGCGTAACAAAGGTTAACGAACCGAGTTTAAGAACTGTTGTATGTAAGACGGAAGTTGTCAAGGAACGAATGCCAAGATTTGATTCGTTGTTAAAACACAAAATTTAATCAGGTTTTAATTAAGATAAATTATACATTAACCGATAGAATTTAGAACAAGCGAGCAGGGAATTGCTTTTCTAATCAATGCACGGTCGACGACGTCCGGCCAGTGACTGGTTTTTCTACTGAATCGTCTTTTTACTTCCTATCCCAAGGTATTTGAAACATTCAGAGACACTTTTCTCTCGCGAGTAATCACGGAATTACTTGCGAGACTTCGAATCCCGTTTTAATTAACTTCGACTTTGAAGTTGATTCGCGCTTAAAGCCCGTTCGACCGCAACCGACCAAGAGACTTTTTAACAAAAGTCCTCTCCGACGGTACTAACATCCGGAGATCAAAATCGTTCGAGGATCCCTCCACAGCCAACAGGACAAATCAAAGTCAATTCTAGTTTCCCAAGTTTATCTCCCTCGCTCCTCAACGGAACTAGATCACCGCGTCTAATTACTAGCGTGGTTG